GGAATATTTCAATTTAAATCTCGTAGCTCAATTTATGACACGAAATTTAGTTATACAACTATATTTTATTCTTTCTATGACTGTAGCCAGTATACGGTAGGCAGAGACGTTATTTTATAAATAACATGAAATATAATATCCTCGTCCAGTATAACATGCAATATCATGTCTATACATAAATGGCTGTCTATAGTAACTCTATAGTTCCGCGTTTATATCACGCTCGTCTATATTAAATCTACTAGAAAATACATGCATGCAGAAACCCTCGCCTTGCTGACAAAACCGTTGTATTTTCCGAACAGGAAGTATCTAGAGTAGTTGTCATGGTAACACGATAATTTTTTAAGAATATTCTTGCAAATAAAATCGCCTAAAAATATCACTTTTAATTACAAAATTATCCATTTCCCAACATATATATGTTAGGTATGTAATTATACGTAATACAAGCTTCAATTTAAGGTAAAATTCAACCACAAACAATTCACAAAACGTTTTAAAGTGTTCTTTATAAAACTAAACTGCCTTTAACTATTAAATGGCTTTATCGATAAACTTTGAGTTTGCAATAAAATGATTTCAAATTCTCGCTTGCAAATAACTTTGGTCTTTGCTTTATTTTTTATTTAAAAAATTCAATATAATAAAAAAGGGAATCAATATTAAAGTTACACTGAAATTTATATATGCTGTCTTGTTTAGTTGTTTCATATACGCAAAGGCCGTCGGGTTTTAAAGCCATTATAAAATCAATATTTAAAACAAACTTACCGTCGTTAACGTCGGCTCCCTTCTTTTAGCTGATTCTTTCGCCCTTTCTTTCTTGAAATTTACAAAATCTTGCAAAAATGCGAGCAAAAATGAAATATATTTGCAAGAAATTTATCAATCATCAAATCAAGAAATGTTTGCTATTTCGCTGTCGTCATGCAGTCGTTATAATGCAAACTTTAAATTGGATCAATCAGTGTCCGTTATTCATGACAATCCGCCATATTTTTGAGATCAGTGAGGATGACCACCCATCGTTGGTGACCGACGCCCGCGCTCATTGATCAACTTTAGACTTCGCTAATGCCAAAGATTAAGTATACTAGAAAATACATGCATGCAGAAACCCTCGCCTTGCTAACAAAACCGTTGTATTTTCCGAACATGAAGTATCTAAAGTAGCTGTTATGGTAACACGATAATTTTTTAAGAATATTCTTACAAATGAAAATCGCCTAAAAATATCACTTTTAATTACAAAATTATCAATTTCTCAACATATATATATGTTAGGTATGTAATTATACGTAATACCAGCTTCAATTTAAGGTAAAATTCAACAACAAACAATTCACAAAACGTTTTAAAGTGTTCTTTATAAAACTAAACTGCCTTTAACTATTAAATGGCTTTATCGATAAACTTTGAGTTTGCAATAAAATGATTTCAAATTCTCGCTGCAAGTAACTTTGCTTTATTTTTTATTTAAAAAATTCAATATAATAAAAAAGGGAATCAATATTAAAGATACACTGAAATTATATGCTCTCTTGTATGTCTTTTTAAGTTGTTTGATATACGCAAAAGCCGTCGGGTTTTAAAGCCATTATAAAATCAATATTTAAAACAAACTTACCTTCGTTAACGTCGGCTCCGTTCTTTTAGCTGATCCTTTGGCCCTTTCATTCTTGAAATTTACAAAATCTTGCAGAAATACGAGCAAAAATGAAGAATATGTGCAAGAAATTTGACAAATTTATCAATCATCAACTCATCAAATCAAGAAATGTTTGCTATTTCGCTGTCGTCATGCAGTCGTTATAATGCAAACTTTAAATTGGACCAATCAGTGTCCGTTATTCATGACAGTCCGCCATATTTTTGAGATCAGTGGGGATGACCACCCATCGTTGGTGACCGACGCCCGCGCTCATTGATGAACTTTAGACTTCCCTAATGCTTTCGTTTCCCCGGGTGTATATAGCCGGGGGGAATTAGTACCCTCGCACGGCGCTTCGCGCCGCCGGCTCGGGTATAAAGATGGCCGACTCGCGGAAAATTCTGTCCCCACTTTTTCACTGCGCATGCGTGAGAGTCTGGTAAGCGCCGAACTAAATTTTTGTATTGAAGTTAATGGAGAAATGTCGAATTTTCGCAATAAAACAGTGATTTTAAAAACATCTGCCGTCCGATCTTTATTTTGAGGACAAAATTTGAAAGAATATGTCAGCTGCGTCTGTTGAACAGTAGTTTATTACACGAATATGTTTAAAATGAACGAAAATTTGGATAAATGACCTCCAAAGGAGTGAGATCTTATGCTGTCAACAAGTCAGGTGAGATTCTTTTCGTTTTTCGATAGTGTTTTGTGAAATTTCGTACCTTAGACAACAGATGCATATAGGGCTATTGCTAACTGACACTAAAAACATGTTTGGGATGCGTATAACTAGAGTTTTTATATATATATACAAAGACAATTTACTGCAGAGTTTGATCGTTCTATTTTACTCCACAGTCTGAAACTGAATCGTGCAGTAATTTTAAAGTATTTCTAATGTCTTGATGATTTTAGGTTATTATAATGTCAAGTGCTATTTGTATGCGTTGCTTGGATGTCTTGGATATTTTTTAATTTGGATAATTTATACTTTTGAGAAAAAGAAAAAAAATTGTGCAAAAAAAGTTTATATTTGACAATTGTGAAAATCAAGGTCAAAATCATTTATTATAATGTAAAATGTTTTAAAAACTAATATATACATTGAAATTATCAAAAAATATTAGGAATTTATATATAATAATTAAAACGGGTGTTCCGGGGTAAAGATCCTTTACACAACATGACAAGCGAATGTTCTAAAATTTACAAAAAATTACAATAACGAAAGCGATTCCTCGATATTTTTGTGAACTTGGCAAAAGGATAACAGAATATGTAAATAAGTTAACTGAAATTGCCTAAATAACTTTCAAAGCACTGACTAAGTACGATAAATCACTACGAACATATATCGTATACACCCCCCGGAAAGTTTACTGTATGACTGAATGAATGACTGATAAGTTTGAATTTCTCCCAGTCATCACAATACTGTGAAGTTTTGAAGAAACTTCACACTAAAAAGGAACTCAAACGAAATTCCAATTTTTGGAAAAATGAGGTGGCATTTTATTTGGATGGTGTGTCTTTCATCCACAAATCCAATCCAATGAGCAACACTGGCAGTAGCAATTCGAAAGCTTGGCATAAACAGGGTGAGGGACTGAAGTTTACCACAAAAGGATCAAATCGAAAGAGTTACCAGGTGGTCGTAGAGTACACGTCCTTGTTGCAGTGTCCTATGGAAAAGGAGTAATTTTAAACGAACCTTATACCAAAATGGATGGGCAATTTTTTGCGAATTTTATCAGAAAAAATTTCAATTTATGTTTCGGTATATACCATGCCTAAAATAAGCGGCTCTTTCGTACAAAAAAATAAAAGAACGCGTGCTACCGTAACATTGCTTTATCAGGAATCTGCAGACTTTATATAAATCATATTTGAGAACATGATTCATGACGAAATGGTCAAGTATATAATTAATTATGCATTGATCTATAAACGATATACATGCAGTGCCGTTCTACTGTGCTGTTGTAACATGCATTGATATATGAACGATATAGTGCCGTTCTACTGTGCTGTCGTAACATGCATTGATATATGAACGATATAGTGCCATTCTACTGTGCTGTCGTAACATGCATTGATATATGAACGATATAGTGCCGTTCTACTGTGCTGTCGTAACATGCATTGATATATGAACGATATAGTGCCGTTCTACTGTGCTATCGTAACATTTATTGATATATGAACGATATAGTGCCATTCTACTGTGCTATCGTAACATTTATGCATTGTTCTACTGTGCTATCGTAACATTTATGCATTGATCTGTGAACAATATAGTGCCGTTCTGCCGTGTTATCGTAACATTTATGCATTGATCTGTGAACGATATAGTGCCGTTCTTATCGTAACATTTATGCATTGATCTGTGAACGATATAGTGCCGTTCTGCCGTGCTATCGTAACATTTATGGATTGATCTATGAACGGCATATAGTGCCGTTCTGCCGTGCTATCGTAACATTTATGCATTGATCTGTGAACGATATAGTGCCGTTCTGCCGTGCTATCATAACATTTATGGATTGATCTATGAACGGCATATAGTGCCGTTCTGCCGTGCTATCGTAACATTTATGCATTGATCTATGAACGATATAATCATATAGTGCCGTTCTGCCATGCTATCATAACATTTATGCATTGCCATTGATCTATGAACGATATAGTGCAGTTCTGCCGTGCTATCGTAATATTTATGCATTGATCTATAAGTGACATATTGCTACTATTTCAGCTATATATGCATGACTACAATACAGGCATCAGACTAATATAAGCAATACGCCAATAGGCTTTCATCACAATAACAGGAATAAATATCACTTCTTCTTTCAAACGAAAATTGCAAGAATATTTGATTGAAAACATTTAGTGCATGTACATGTCATATATAGGAGCCTCAATTATACATGCAACAAATAATTTTTAAAATTTTGCCTTAATTTTTTCCTGAATAACAATGTCAATGACATGGCCTCTTAATACAATTAGTCTTTGACTTCCTGAGGTCTTCTCGCCTCTCCCTTGCCTTTCAATTTGACATACATAAATATAAATATACCTAAATTTTATTATAATAATCAATGTAAATGAACTGAATGAAGTCAGTGGTAAATAAATTGAATTTAAGAATATACAGTTCTCTCATCATATAACCTATATTGGCTATAATCTATATCTTTACTATACAATATAGGCATTGTTGAAGTGCTACATGCTGTGCTTTTCAATAGACTTCATTGTTTGCCATATAAAACACCCATTGTTTGGAAATAGGATAAAAGTCGGAGTTACTCTAAGTTTAAACCTATATACCTTGCATACATTACCTATAACTTGGGTAATTTATTTTCCCAAAGCCAACCAACTCAATAGGGACTTTCCACATGCAATGGGCATATCTTAATTTCCAGTTCCCATCTGCAACATAGAGCTGACCACATCCTACATTGTTATTTACAAACAAAATAAATATTTAAAAATCGTGAACATCAATGTAAATTACAAGGAATGTACAGTAATTACATAGAAACTATTTAGACAATATATAAGTCATCATAATTATTCTGGCAATATAATACACAGACAATTAATTAGGATACAGGGGGATGAGACAAATCCACATAACATACCAGGGCTCGGATTTTATCGCGGCAATTGCCGTAGAGGGAGAACAAAATGTTGTGGATCATTGCGGCAACGATGGCAATTTTTTACCGTATAGTGCAATTTTTATACTATTCACTGTGCATTACTATTTTGATACTTGAATTCAGATGTTGATCAAATCGTGTGTAAATCACTATTTTAGTCTCAGTTTTCTTTGCAAAAAGAACGCTAAAGAAATAAGTATGTTTGTAGCTTGTCAAAAATCCAAAGTAACAAAATTAAGTTTGAAAAATGTCGTGGAAACTGCCAAAATTGCACGTAGCCAGCTGTTACGTTCTACAGCAATTTTTAACCCCATTGCTGTCGATTGATTTCAGGGAAATTCGAGGCATGTAACATACCCTTTTCTCTGCAATGAGCTGAGCAATTGTGCAAATAAAGCTCTTCAGAGCGTTTCTTGTCAATGTATTCCATGACATCATCAGTTGTACCCGTAAATTGCCCAGACTTTGCAGCCATGAAAACCCATGTTTCCCGCAAACCATGCGAAAGTAGTTCCAGCTCAGTTTCACATTGCCAAAAGCACTTTGCGATTGCTTTTGCGGACATCTCCCCTGGTAAAATGCCTACAAATTGAAAATCAAGTTTTAAATGGTCTACTTTCAACATTAGGGAAAGTACATTTATTACACCGAGGGAGGGGGATGAAGATGTCTTGAAAAAAGCTCATATTTTTACAGGGCCCCTGTTGAGGTTATTGGTAAATTTCGATGCCCCCCCCTCCAAGTTTTTAAAATTTTCAATGCCCCCCCTCTAGAATTCGGAATCGAAGGAGTACAATCCGGAATTCTCTCTTATCATAGATACAATTTGCAGTTCCTCAAGATGTCTGATATACTCAAGCATGTGCTTCTCCTCAACAAAACTACCGATCTGCTGCTTCTTTCACCTCACTAGCGCCAGATGAAATGGCACCGTCTTTAAAAAAAAATATTTAAATTGGCTCTAGGGGCGAAATTATCAACAAGTTGTTGTTGCCCATCATTCAGCATAGTCGGAGTCTTGAACACGTTCATGTAGTGGCCAGGATTTCCTGGATCAGGGTATCAAATGACACTCCCATGACAGACAATGCCCCTTTAAATGCCAGAGCAGTAAATCCCTACCTTTATCGCTATCATCAGCATCTCCTTCCAATATAGGTGAATCTATAATAGGAGTTTAAAACTGTTTGTATAGTTCAGTGTAGAGATGGGCGGTACCAGCTTTTTTTGTTTGGTACAATACCAGTCCATCATTCCGAAACCAAGAATTTTAGTCGATACAAAAATTGACACAAATACTTCAATTTATGTATTACTAGTAAATTTTGTTTGCATAAATTAAAATGCATTTATCCATAATTCATGACATTCTCTGTCTATTCTTTTGCAAAATAAAACACGAATATATTGGCCACAAGTTGCCTTTCAATTATAATTTTATGTTTCAGATTTTTTGAAAAGAAAAAAGCTTTCAAACTTCAAAACAGGAGCTCACAAACTCTGCATCACTATTACTGTATTAATAGCAAAGTAGCAAACAAACCTTTCAATGAGTTGGCATATGTTTGAATTTGTTTCTCATTTATTTCATTATAAGCTTCAGCAAATTCACTGAATGACACCCAACAATGGTTACTATATAAAATAAAGCAAAATAATTTAACTTAAAAGTTATTCGTTTATAAGTACTTCAAAATATTCAAAAGGTTTTAAAATTTATTAATATCTGTGACTTCACTATATCAATTGGTAAGTTTTTTGATAAATGTCCAGCTCTAATGTAAATTATTTAATAAATATATTAGATTCCCAAATATTACACCCAACAATGGTTACTATATAAAATAAAGCAAACTAATTTAACTTAAAAGTTATTCGTTTATAAGTACTTCAAAATATTCAAAAGGTTTTAAAATTTATTAATATCTGTGACTTCACTATATCAATTGGTAAGTTTTTTGATAAATGTCCAAATCTAATGTAAATTATTTAATAAATATATTAGATTCCCAAATATTATTTCACAGAACGCGAATCCTACCTGAGAGATGGCATCCACTGATATAAATCGCAATGGAAATATGTAACATTGCTGACCTCTATCAAATCCAAATCGAAATTGAGAGGATAAAAGCAAGTGCCAGACCTGTCGGTGTAGTTGCATACTCCAAAATGTATTGAGCAATTCCTGCATTCCAGGGTAAACTTCGAGCATGGAACAGGACCATTTAAAGTAAATAGCACGGCTCTGGACGGATTGTTGCGCATGGACAAGTGCTTGTCGCATCGTATACAAACAGAAACCGGTGGAGTGAGATACTTGTCCAACAAGCTGTCTTGGTTTGAAAGATCTGTATCAACGGACATAAACAATGGACAGCGAGTTTCAAGTATCTTGCCGTACGTTTCAAGTTCTTCCACAGTCGGATGTATGAACGTGCCCGTTGCTGTCGATTGGAGGCTAGTAAAAACTTTGAATATGATGGCTGACCGCATTGGTGTTTTATCAACGACACGAGTGATGTTTGTAGGAACATGCTGCAGTGCCTTGTGCAGATAATTCAACATTTGAACGGAAATTTTGCTCGTCAGAATAGTAATAATATCATGTTCGTCAAGGTCATACTCATTCGAAATTAAAGCATTTACATCAACTTCGCGAAGGCCTCTCAACAATTCACGAACGCGATCGGTCCGGGACACTTTCGCTTGCATGCTCACTTTTATGTTATCTAGGTCGAACAGGCTTGACGGTCTTTTCTTCTTACTTTTGTGTGACATATTTATAACACTTTAAACGGTAGCGCCTATACAAGTTCACGAAGGTCTCTCAACAATTCACGAACGCCATAGGTCCGCTCAAACGCTCGCTTTTATGTTAATATATAATATCTTTTATGTTAATGTTATCAAAGACGAAGACGCAGGACACTTTCCTTTCACTTGTGCTTGAACGCTCGCTTTTATGTTAAATGGCATAGGACTCTAGCTAGTGAGTGTCAAATTGCTACTTGTTACGATAGCACGTGGCAGTGTCAAATTGCTACTTGTTACGATAGCACGGTGGAACGGAAAGCGTAACGATGGCACGCGCGCGTAATATTACAATTTTGATGAAAACCCTCCGCTTATTTTAGGCATCATTTGTTTCGGTAAGGCCGGGCCTAAACACGGCGGTAGACGGTTATTTGTAATGGACAATTGCCCATGCCAGACAAGCAAAGTCGCTATGGCATCACTTGGTCAAGTCGAGGCAGAAATGCTTAAAATTCCTGCATGTTCACCTGATATAAATCTGATTGAGAATATATTCCATCTTGTTAAATCTCAGTTGAATAAACAGGCAGTAACAGAGAATATCACCAGTGAATCTTACGAACAGTTTCAAACTCCAGTTCTTCAAGTATTGAGAACATTCCCTATCGACATTATTGATAAAACAATTGATAGTATGAGCAATAAAATGATTTCGTCAAAGGGATATAGAACAAAATACTGAATAATATTTAGGCATCAATTTACTTAACTTTAATACCAATTAACGTATTATTAATAGTAACGTATTAATATATGTAAACAATTGTCGGATAATATTTCTTGTCAACAGTGCTCACATATTAAATCGTTCTTTGTAACTTGTATCAAAGAATTTTAACCTACATTGCATTGAGTTCATTATTGTGCGACTTGGTCTTTATACCGAAATGAAAAACGTCGTGATTCGAAGGATTTTAATACAATTTTTAACAGTGCTCACTCAAATCCCACTATAAAATGTGCATTGTTTACAAACTTATATGGCATTTGTGGTGAGAAATGTCGAAAATCTCATAAACAAATTATATTTTGCCCTAAAAAGTAATTGTAGTGTGCGGATAACCATTAACTCAACAGTAGGTACAATAACAGTGGATTGTCTGCTTTCATGTAGAAAGTTCTATAAAATCCATAATATTATATGTCAACATTATCTAACACAAATGTTGAAAAGCACTTGCCGCAAGGAGACATCTTGACTCGATTATTTTGGTCAATCTGTCTCCAAAAATGGGGAAACCGCCATCGCACGTCCATCATTTCAGTATTTACCTGGTCTAACGATCCTGCTTTAACTAAAGCCATAGGGGCATCAGACGTGGCAAAGAATGGAGTACCTGAAGACAGCTCTATATCTCGTTGACAAAAATTTTTTGTCTCTGGGAAATGGACAACATCTCCTTCTAGAGCTTGTAAAAGATCTGGCCATGCGATAATGGCCGGATTCCATCTGAAGTCATTTAATAGAATGACCTCTGCCTCATCGATACCAAGCCATGCAAATGTCCCGGTTGCCGGATTACAGAAAGCGTGGTAAAATAATTTCAAGGGTGACAGTATAAACGTTTTACCACTGTCCGCAGGGCCATAGACAAAAATATTTCGTTAGTTTCCTCGTCCGTTTTGGAGCGCGTTATAAATCGCAGTACAGAATGCTGAGACATCAATTCGGTTTAGGCGCATCAGTTCTAACACAGCTTCCAGCCACTGTCCTTCACATTGATGGACACATGTTGAGCCTTTAGCTTCCTGAAGGATTTTGATTCTTGTTTTCTTTGTGCGTATTGCCTTGGCCTCGGCTTCTCAAAATTCCTTACCAATGGATAACGCTTCATCCACCACTTTAGCCCCACGATTGGCAATAAATTCTGCGAGCCGTGTAGTGCCTTCTCGTTTCTGCTCAACGGCTAAACAAACAAGCTCTGCTCGCTTTGTAATATTCTTCTTTTCAATGACCTGGGACACCTCATAAACCGTCAAACCCCTCTCTCAGCGGTTCTTTTTCTTTCCTTTCGTCGTAGGCTGCCCAGATTTCCTTTTTCTGGCGGCTATTGCGTTTTCAGTCCTTGGCCTTGTCGACAAATCTGGATGATTATGTGAATGACATGGTTGTGGGTCTTCTTTGGTAACATACCGATATGCACTATAGTACGTATTATGTAAGTCACTAAAGTTAACTTTAATACCGTACTTGTGATCAAGATAGTTCCTTATCTGTAACCATCGGGCTTTCTTTGTTAACTTTACTGCCATATGATAATGGTACTCGTTCATTTCTTGTTCAGAATCAGATATAGCATGAACCTCCATCGACACAACCCAGTGTTGCAATCTCACGCCAGCATTTCTCCATGCTTCTATAACTGCATCTGCAAAACGTTGTCTTGTGTTGAAAATAGCTGTATTGGCCCTGCTATATGTAATGAGATATATCAATCATTGATGTTTCTCATTTAACGAAGCCATGTCTATAAATATACGAACTTTATTCCAGTGTATTTGATAATTCAATGTGATCATAGTAGCAATATGACAACAACCGGAAGTGCAAAAAATGAAATATTATTCAATTTAATGCAGTTAAATATTACCTAAATATATGTTGTATTATAAAATAAGTTACGTAAAAGCTTTTTCTTGTTTTTTGAATAAATAAAAACACAAATTGAATATAGTCACACTTTCAGACAATCATGGCCAAAAGTTTGTGGAACGCAAGCTAATTAGTAGGTATAAAGGCGCACGAGTTGTAATATTTTCACAGATTTCGCAAAAAATGAACTCCCCCGAACCCCCTTTCCAATGTTGTTCCTAGCGTTGATGAATGAGATTGTGTGATGCTTATTCTGAGCGGAAAATAATCCCAAACAACATTGAATAGGGGGAGTGGGTGGGGGGTTATTCAAATTAAAGGTAAAAACATGAAATGTCACTTTGTGTTCCACAACATTTGGCCATGATTGTAGGTACGTTTACTAAATTCTGGCCAATGTTGGTAAAATAGACACAAAACCTATTGGTGATGTCTAAAGGATTGGTGACATTTAGAAATTATCAGTAAAATGTTGATGGCAACGGGGTTCTGTGCTTTTTCTTATTAATGATTTCATTGATAATTTTCCACGTTGCTTTAATGTTGGATTTATTAGATCCCATCTTCTCCTCATAATGAAGACGTTTGGAGGTACGTAATACAAGAGTAAGCCTGTTTTTATACTTTTTGTACCTATCCTCATTTAGAGGAGTAGGAACACATAGAAATTTCTTGTACAACTTCTTTTTTTTCTTATGGACTTAAGAATACCCTTGGATAGCCAGGGCTTATTTTTGAACCTTGCTGCTTTAATTCTTTTCAGAGGAAAGGCGGAATAGTATATACGCATGAAATGAGAATGAAAACTGTCATAAGCATATTTTGGATCACTGTATCCCTCAATATCAGACCATCTGTGATTTCAGAGGTCTTGAAATTTTAACGAGTTAGTCTTACTCCTATCACGGAATGTTACATATGCTGAAGCGTCACCATAATTTTCAACTGATTGATCACTAAAATAGCCGAAAATTGGTAAATGGTCCGAAATATCAGTGAATAATAGACCACTAAATGAATAAGTGTCTAGATTGTTTGTGAAAATGTTATCAATGAGAGTAGCAGAATTAGATGTAATGCGAGTAGGCAGAGTTATTAACAGGAAAACATATTGGAGTACATAATATCGAGAAATTCACCAGTGCATTGCTGGCTATGATAATTTAATAAATTCAAATTAAAGTCACCATTATGTAGCACATTTTATTTTCTTTAGAAATAATAGAAATTAGTTGTCTGTATTGTTAATAAACTCATCAACACTTTCATTAGGCCTCTATATATAACTCCAACAACAATATTCGATGCTAATGTTAGCGCTAAAGTTAAAGTGAAAATATGGGCGCACAAATTTATAGATTCTGGTGTTTTACTGAGCTCAGGCGTAGGTGATACCCGGTATCACTTGTCTGTGAGCTCTCAAGCCGGTTCCTCGCTCCCTGCTTTATCTTTAGAACTGTCACACAAGCTGAAGGCCATTCCCAATATCGAGGCATGGACTTCAGCTTTCCAAATTTTCGTTGGAGTCTACACTGCAAAATTTCCCTTGGAGGCCCCAATACTAATGAAATACGGGGAGGTAGTGCAGGATTTGGCCACACGAGGGGCTGATTGGCGTTTGTATGACACGCAATTTCGTCTCTTGCGGCAAAGCAATCCGGCTGAACTACCTTGGGGTTATACTCACTGAGAACTTTGGATCCGTCCACAAACTTTCGGTCATGCGCGTTTGAGCAAACCCCAATGAAATATGCGCACAAGTTCAAACAATTTGTCCTTGTCGGTTGCTGGACCCTTTGTTCCTAGGGGGTTTTGCCGCAAGTTCCACCGGGGTGCTGAATGTTTAGGGTGTAACTACAAACACAACTGCTTTAAATGTGGTGTTGTTCACCTGGCTATTCATTGTAATTTCCGTGGCCAAAAGCCCTCCTCTGGCTCAGCCCCAAGTGCTGCCAAGTCCCGTACTGCCAACACCGGTTCTAATTGACAATCTCTACCCGTTATTATGTGGATACGATGTGCAATTGGCGTTAAATTTATATAATGGTTTTAAGTTTAGTTTTCCCCTTCATTTTGAAGGATCTCGTATATCAATTTTTGGTCCTAATCTCGTTTCCGCGCAACGGAACCCTGAGATAGTTAGTGCTAGACTCCCGAAAGAATTGGCGGTCGATCGCCTGGCTGGGCCTTTCAACAGTCCACCCTTTCCTAATTTTCGCGTTTCCCCCTTGGAGCTGGTACCTAAAAAAGCCCCTGGAGAATAATCCACCATTTGTCTTTTCCAAGTGGTGAATCTGTTAATGACGGCATTGCTCACGAGCATTCGACTGTACATTATGCTCGTGTTGATGATGCCGTTAAAATGATCAAACAATTAGGCCGCGGCTGTTTCCTAGCAAAAACGGATATCAAGAGCGCATTTCGTATTATCCCGATAAGGCCATCCACTTATGATCTTGTAGGAATGTTTTGGCAAGGGAAGTATTACTATGATCGCGTTATGCCCGTTGGCTGTGCGTCATCTTGTCGCACTTTCGAGATGTTTAGCACTGCTATCAAATGGGTTGCTAAGAAACACTTGCAAATCCCACATCTAATCCACATTCTTCATGATTATCTAATGGCGTCACCTACTTATCACCAATGTCGCATTGACCTTGTCCGCTTCTTATCTCTCTGTAAATATTTAGGCATACCAATCGCACCAGACAAAACTGTTGGCCCACAAATTATTCTCGCCTTTGCTGGCATTGAATTAGACACTTTGCGCATGGAAGCCCGTTTACCAGACGACAAGACTGATAAATGCAAGTCTCTAATACCTGGCTTTCTGCATCACAAAAAAGTTACTTTGCGCGAAATACAATCGTTAACTGGTTTACTTAATTTTGCTTGCTGGGTAGTTGTCCCTGGTCGGGCTTTCTTGCACCGTCTTATTGATTTGACTAAAGGCATCAAGTTCCCGCACCACCTTGTTCGTCTAACTAAATCGGTTAAGGCCGATCTGGCAGTCCTTTTTGGATGAATTTAATGGCTGATCGTTTTTTTCAGTGATGTTTGGAATGATTCCTTCAGTTTAAACCTATATACCGATGCTGCCGGTAGTTTGGGCTACGGTGCTGTATTCAGTGATGAATGGTTTTTCGGTGCACGGCCCCCCAATTGGAGGCAATTAAACATCGCTATTTTGGAATTTTACCCAATTGTACTCAGTGTACTCGTATGGGGAGATAAGATGCAAAACCAGCGTATCACCTTTTTTACGGATAATGCGGAATTGGTCGATATTATAAATAAAGCCACTTCACACGATGTGACTGTTATGATATTTGTTCGCCACCTGGTGCTGGCTTGTTTGAAATTTAACATTTTATTCCGCGCTCGCCATGTACCGGGTGTCAAAAATGTTTTAGCTGACGCTTTATCTCGATTGCAGGTTTCGAAGTTCAAACAGCTAGCTCCGGTGGGTGTACAATCGTCCCCAACGGTCATACCAGCCCAACTACTTCCGTACAACTGGCCGCTCTAACAACTAAATTACTTCAATCTAGTGTGCAGCCATCGTCAGTCCCTACTTATCGCCGTGCCTGGAAACTATATAGCCAATTTTCAAGTGCAGTTTTTTACTCAGCTTTAGTCTCACTGCCTATATCACCCGCCAACTTAAGCCTATTTATTTTGTACATGTTTCAATGCAACTATGCGGCCTCGACGGCCAACACATACGTTTCTGCACTGGGATATTGTCATCGTCTTGCAGGGGTGAACGACTCAACTAAAGTGTTTTGGATTGTCGAGATGTTGAAAGGCTATGGTAAGCTTGGGTCATGCATTGATACACGCTTGCCCATAACTCTCCCTATCCTTCGCACCGTCTTACAGCAAACTCCAACTATATGTTCAAGTGAGTATCGGAGGAACTTGTTCAAAGCTATGTGCACGACCGCATTTTTTGCTAGTTGGCGAAATCACTTGTTGTCCACGGTCACCAGACGTACTGCAATTGAAGCAGGTCGTTCAACTCGTGGATAATGCGGGCAACGTCAGCGGTTTAAAAATTACATTTTTGAATTTTAAGCATTCTTACAACCAAGCTAACGTCTCGCTCACTATTCACCGACGTTCAGACGTATGCCCAGTGCAGAGCTTACTAGACTATTTTGCACATTGTGGTTTAGCTGATGGCCCTCTTTTTCAAACTTGTGACGGGCATGCAATTTCACGCAAGACGTTCACAGACCATTTAGCTATTATATTTTGCACGTGCGAGCTCGATGCAAACAGGTACAAAGGACATAGTTTTCACATCGGCGCGGCTACATTTGCTGCCGAATGTGGTTTTTCCGATGCCCAAATAAGACTAATGGGCTGTTGGAAATCCGACGCTTTCCGCAAGTATATTTGTGCTCCTAGCTTGTGACTTAAATCAGACACTTCGACTATACAGGCCGGGCTTTTTGTGGGGATTGATTTTGGCTGCCTGTTGATAAACCCGTTTAGTAATTAGTACACTTTGTCAAGTCGACGCAAGGGCGAGACTTGATATAATATAGGAATGTGCGTGTTAAGATACAATAAATGTACATGTCACTTAATCACTGTTTTACGTTCTCTGTGAGGCTAACGCATGGGCAAGGCTTCTACACAACCGTTCGCTTTAGCAGGTTGGCGGTCCCGTGGCAGTTTAACACATGGGCACGAACTGTTGGCGGTCGCT